ACGTGTGCTCTTCCGATCTGAAGGATTTAATGTAAAGAATATTGGAATAAATCAAGAATATATACGCACCAAGAACTGCGTGGGACTCTTAACTGCCTTTGTCATCTGTTTAATATTTGTTAATTAAAGAGTCATTATCTTTTAATTATTAATTAGAAAAATATAAGTTGTATATTATAAAAAATTTATCTCTAAACAAAATCTTTGTTGATGAAAATTCGAATAGCTTTACGAGTATATTCAATTCAATAGTTGATTCTATCAGAATTGCTTTATCGATGTTCATTCTTAGCAGGAATAGCACGAATTTTAATCGTGAGAACAGCCGTTCGACACTCACTAATTGCGTGGCTGATACCAGAATAGTCATCATTAACTTGTACACCTTTAGTTGAGTCATACTTTTTTCTTTGTCAGAATTCCAAGATATTAGTTTTTCTTGAGATTCTTTTCTGCTCTTGGTTGTAGCTTTCCCATAAGATTTCAATCCTAATATTTCAATTTATAAATTTCAATTCTAATAAGATTTGCGGATATAGAGTAGGCGAGATATTCCATAGAATATAGATATAGCAAGAATAGATCGAGCGAGGCGTGAAATTTGATTGGGAAGAAAGATGGAAGATAGCTCTGCCGTGTATCCTTTTCCGAACAGAAAACCGAAAAACGGACCGAAAACCGGAAAAAGTTTTTGGTCCAGCTATGGGTCCGATCCATTAAGGGGATTAGGCCATACTAGCGCACAAAAAAAACAGCCTATCTTTGACAAGAATTTATAAACATATAAAATTCAAGAGAGAAAATTCTAGTAAGCCACTTTATTGCCTATCTTTTACAGTTTAAATATTGATATATTTTTTTTTAATAAAAAGTGGCGACGATACGCATCCGCTTGTAGAAGCCTTCCATTTCACACGGGCGAAAGGGTTTCTCCCATAATTTTTGTTCTAAAAGTCAAATATCGTATTGTCGCGACTTTTTATTTAAAAAAAGATATCAATATTTAAACTGTAAAAGATAGGCAATAAATGTGGTTCACTTGAATTTTCTCTTTTGAATTTCATATATTCATAAATTCTTGTCAAAGGTAGGCTATTTTTTTCGTGCGCTATATACCGCGGCCTATGTAATCACCTGCGCAATATCTCGGTGTCCGGTTTTCGGTTTAGTCCGACTAAAATAACGGTTTTGATCCGATTATCGGTTTCGGTTTCAGTCCGGTCCGAATCCCTGATAACTACAGATGTTACTAAAGATATTAAACCAAATTAATGGTGAAGTGTAAACGTATAGTCACGGTCATGTGCGCGATACGGTTGTGTGCAAAGGCAATTGTTTGATAAGCAAATAGGACATTGACAAAATTCACTATTGCACAAAATTTTTTGTTTAATTGGCGTAACATATGTATAATATATAAAGTTTTTCCAAATATAAATAAAGTTTTTTTTATATACTTTTTAAGATAATATAAAAAAATGTTTCCTCTTTTAATACATTTATATTACTTACATTCGTATCTTTAGAGTTTCCTCTCTACTCTAGTTGTCTCTGCTATTGTCAACTTTACTACTGACAAAAACTTTATTACAATTTATGACTTAACGTTTTGATCATTTAAGTTATGACTAATCTTTATGACTTAACGTTTCGATCATTTAAGA